AGATTTTTTTAGAAGACCTTTTTGTTTCTTTTCTTTTGAGATTGGGCCTATCTATGTTGTCCAGGCTGGCCTTGAACTCATGACAATCATCTTGTATCAGTAGAAGACCTATGCTTATATCTCATGACTAAAATTGTTTAGCACGTATACTCCTAACTATACTATAAAGGACTCTGAGTAGTGGACTGTTTTTAACTGAGTACAGTGTCATTGTGAACCGTATCAAATTTTCTGGAGAAAAACAAAGGGAGTTTTATTTATCATTAGTAATTTTCAGTTATATGAGATAGAGCATTGCTCAGCCTTAGGTAAATGCTGCTATCTATGCCCTGTTACACGCAAAGCTGCTGTGTGCCCACAAAGTGTATTCATGTGAATTCAAAGGGAATGGATATCAGGGCACATCGCTTAGCAAATGGACCATGACAGATTTGGGCACCCACTTAGCTCTTTGACAAGATGACCTTTTGCAGCAAACAGTCTGCATAGTTGTAAGTGGAAAAACACGGGACAAGACAGAGATGAGTTAGAAAGAAATCGTTCGTGATTGCTTTGTGTTTCATTGACAGAAACAGATCCGTGGTTTTAAGCTTTCTGCCCATTCTTTTAAAAGCCATGTTAACCATGCTCAGCAATTACAATGTGTTGGCAGTGACTGTGAAACATATGTATATTTAGAGTTGTCACTGAAATTTTCCTGATATATAGTAACCATTTGGTAACTGACAAAAAAGGGAAGAATAAATTTCTACTTTCTAGGAATGTGTAAGCAAAAATTCTACTATCAAGACAGATATTTATTAAACAAATGTAAAGAGTAATAATAATTACCATAATTAGACAAAATTTAAGAAGACAATATTCTCTTGTGCAACTAGGATCCTTTACAATAAAAAGTGTGAACTGGAGAATTAACAGGACTTTGTCATTCATCCTTCACTGTCCTGCTGGATCTAGGATACTTTTTGCCTTCATGTAGAATGATTTAGCAATCCAAAAGGAGAACACATGATATCTCTCTGTTATGACTGCATTTACTTCATCTTGCCTGTTTGATCTTGATAAAGAATATCACCGTCATTCTTAATGTGATGGTGTTTGCAGAATGTAAGTTATGGTCTTCTCTAAATGGAATGCTTGCCACTCATCTTTAACTGCTTCCCTTTGAGGTAGTTCGTCTTTTAGACAGAGTTATCAACAGTGAGTTCAGCTCTTTCTTTGAAGGTGTCAGATCTTCTTTTAGCCCATTACTCCTCACCTTTTCTCCCACGTAGCTGTGGATAGTTTGCTTTGGTTTTTAAAAGAGAAATTCAACAACTAAAATACATTTTGTGTAAAGAAATAGCCTTTGTGATGCAGCTTTATTATTAGAAAAGCAGTGAAGGGACTGTAAGAAGTCATTTAGTTCTGCTGTCATCCCACTTTGGCTGTTTACCAAACTACTGAAATCTAATAGTGAATATTCTGTTGATATTTTTACACATTTCACATAAATCTTTCTTGACAGTCATTCTTTTTTTAGACATTTCTTTATGCCTATTTATTCATTTATTCATGATTCAAGAAATTACTCTCCATTTATTTTGTGTTCTACAATTTTGAAGGCACTACCGAGTAACTGGAGAATAAATAAAAAGTCACTTTTATGCTTGGGGAAATTTTTAGAAATTTCAGTATCTTATACCATGGCTGTTTAGGGAGCAATTAAAAGGAATTTTTGCTAAAATGAGGGAAGTATTAACAGAGTGGAGCCAAGCCTGAAAGTGGTTTGCTCTATTTGGGTTGCTTATCTTTTGCTTCAAGCTTGGTTTGGTCCAGCTTGGGGTGGGATGAGACAACATTCAGGAGTTCAAAGCTTTGTGAAATGAGGAGACAGCAATCTAAAATACAAAGGGGCCACTCTTTTTCTTTTATTTCTGAAACTGTACTCATAAAAGTGATCGATGGTCCTCCCACTCACAGCTCCACTAGCCACCCACACATGACATTGTTTCCAAAGGGATTAAACTGTGCTCTTTTGGACCATTGACTCTTTAGGTAGACATGTGCGGGGGGAGCACAAAAAGAATGCTTTGACCGTACTGGTCCTTAAAAGCAGAAAATTAGAAATTCCTTTGGGAAAAATATTTGCTCTACAACAGAAATAAAGACATCATCTTTGTCTTCAAGGACAAGAAGTTAAAACACAAAGAATACTGTACAGACCTTGTTATTTCATCTTTATTTTTAAAGTCTCCCCAAATAATTTATTTCCTTCTTCATTTCAATCCTTTGTCCAATCCCATACAGGGATACTTTGGAGATATTGAGGGTGTGGCTCAACAACACTTCAGTAAAGAGCATATTACAATAAAGACCATATTACAATCAAGCAAGCCACATGTATTTTTTGGGTGTCCTAGCATGGTGTTGATGTTATATTTATGTGAGACTGTAGATTATTAAGCATGAAATAACATTACATTTTTAAAATGATGCATGCACTTTAACTGGAAAATATTTAGAAAAACGCTAACAATCAGCTGAGCCTTCAGCAAGTCGTAATCCTCTTTCTGACAAAGGGCCTTGCTGTAATTGATGGTTGCTGAATTCTCAGTGGGTGGGGGTTGGGGTGGCTGTGGAAATTTATTAAAATAAGACAGCAGTGGAGTTTACCATGGTGATTGACTCTTTATAAATTATTTGTCTATAGCTTGTATGATTTTGTGTTTGAGTCACAGTGAAATATCTTCTAAAATTGGAGTCTATCTTCTATTTCATTACCTAAGTTTATGTTATATTTTAAATCTTTTATTATTTTTCAACATTATTCATAACATCTTTATCCTGAGTAGGTTTCTTCTCAAGAGGCTGCTGTCCTTGCTTATTCATAATAAACAACTTTTTATCCATTAAAGGTGTGAGATTGTAGCAATATTTTATCATGAGATTGTGTCAAGTCAGTCTTAAAATCTACTTCTATTCTTGTTTTCTCCTTCTCTTTCTATTTCTGCTGTATCTGGAGATACTTCCTTGACTGATATCTTGAACTTCTCAGAGTCTGTTATTAAAGTCAGAATCTTCTTACAAATTCCTGTTAGTATTTATATTTTGACCTACTCCTATGAATCAGTGTTCAGTATGGCATAATGACATATAGGATGATTAATCCTATCAAGACGATTTTCAATTTATCTTTCCCAGGTCCATGAATTGAATCACTATCTATGGCAGAATTAGTCTAACAAAAGATAATTCTTAAAAAAATAAGTCTTGGTCATGCATATATATGGAACAGTTTCTCTGGTGTGAAAAAATATAATAGTACATAAGATTCTAATGAAATAATTGACAATGTGAAATAGGAAGAAAAGGGCTAAAGGTGTACGGGAATTGGGAAGGGTAGGGGAAAGGTAATAAGGGAAAAGGAAAAAATGAGAAAATGAAAAAATGGAAATAAAGTATTTGCAAATAGGGAAGGGAGAGCAGGGATAAGGGGAAAAAGTGAGAACCAAGACCTGTCATGTAAAGGTACAAGATCCCAATAATGAATGTAACTGTACTGTATACCTAAAATATACCAGTAAACTCAAAGAGAAAAAAAGTGTTGGAAGCCAAAATTACTCCTGCAGGTATGGTCTACATACTGGATGTTATGCTAGGAGGCATGAAAATGACAGGAATCCTGTACACGCATGGATGTCTAGATGCATTGTCAACAAGCAGCAATACTTTGAAAATAATTTTGTTTTCTAAGCAGTAGGTGTCAATAGTGAACTGAAAATTCTCAACACTTATAAACAGATGAGCTGTCATTGAACCATAGTTCCATTTATAGACCACAAGTAAAGAAGGTTTAGTACAAATCTTAAATGCCCTAGAACTTTCAGAGTGAGAAATGATCACTAACTTCAATTTCAAGTTACCCATTGCATTAGCCAATAAGTGTATAGTTCTGTCCCTTGAAATTTTGAAAATAAGCATTGACTTTTCTTTAACTATGAAAGTCCTAGGTGGCATCTTCTTCTAATAGAAGGCTATTTAGTCCAGTATGAAAATCTGTTGTTGAGTGCTAGATCTTCTGGATAAATTGCTACATCTTCTACATCAATTGTGGCTCCTTCACCTTGCAATTTCATGTTAAAGAGATAGTTTCTTTCCTGAAATCTCTTCAGTTAACCTCTGCTGCTGCAAACTTTTCTTCCCCAGCTTCTTTGCCTTTCTTAGTCTTCATAGAATTTAAGAGTTAGGGCCTTGCTCTGAGTTAGGTTTTTGCTTAAGGAAATGTAGCTGATTTGATCTGACTAGAATATTAAAATTTTTCCACATTAGCAGTGATGCAATTTAACTTTCTAATCATCTTTGTGTTCATTGAGTAGCACTTTCAGTTTGCTTCAATACATTTTTCTTTGCATTTTCAACCTGATTATTTTTCACAAGGCCTACCTTTCAACCTGTCTTCACTTTCAATTTGCCTTCTTTGCTGAAATTATTAATTTTAGATTTTGGCAAAAAAGTGAAAGACATGTGGCTATTCCTCTTTTGTACTGGTCCTTTCTATTTTAGTTTTGAAATGAGGTCATACTAATTTTCTAAGTTGCTCAAGGTGATCTTGAATTTGCAATCCTCCCACTTAGCCCCACAGAATGCTGGGATTATAAGCAGGCACCATGAGCATTATAGGGTTATCATTGGCCTCAATTTGAAATTATGTCTCAGGAAATAGAATGATTTGAGTAAAGGGAGGAATTAAGAAACTGTTGGCCAGTGGGCTAGGCATACAATGTTTATTGGTTAAATTCATTATCTTAAAATAATAACAGTGAGCACAAATCACATGACAAAATGTATTTGAAAAGTTAGAAATGTTGTGAAAATTAACAAAATGTAAAAAAAAAGTCAGTCTATATATAAACTGATAATAAATATATTTTTATCAAGTAGGATTACCACAGACTTTTAATTTTTGAAAAAAACATAGTCTCTGAAGAGTAATTATGTGCTACATAACACTCATATTAACTAATACCATTTAGATCCAATAACGAAACCCACAACTTAAAGGATGACAGCTTTGATTTGCTTCTGGTTTCAATCCATACCTGACTGATTTCAGTCTTAGCTGGCTCCAAGGCAGAAACACTGTGGGGGCAAAGTAAAGACAGAACAAGGTGCTTTATTAATTGCACACAGGAAGCCCAGTAGGGCAACCCCAGAGGAAAAGGAGTGAGGGAGCAGGCATTGACCCCAAACCCACCCCCTCATGACCCACCCAGATGCGCTGTAAGTGTCCTCCACTGATTTTCTCTGGTGGATTTCAGAGCCAATCAAATTGAAACAACCCTAACCACCAAAACAGAGTTTTAGTCAAAGAAAGAGTGCAAATAAGTTGTGGCCAGCTGTAGCCTCGTGTATTTCATGTTTACAACTCTCGATTGCATTATTTTTTCTTCTGTTGAATTTCATACTGTTTTGGTTACCATTGTCCCTAACTATAGTAAACTCACTGCTAATATGGACAGAAGGAGGTCACGTCGAGTGACCCTGAAGTGAAATTAAAAGTGATTAAGAACTCTGAAGTTGGAAAATCAGTGGTAGTTATTACCCAGCATTTAAGCATTTCACATCCCACCATAGCTATGATATCAAGCAAGAATAACAAAGTGATGATGATGCTGGATTTACTTTCTTGGAAACAATAAAACTTAATGAAAATTTGAAGAGAGCTTATATCAGATATAGAGAAACATTTAGTGGGCTAAATGGAAGACCAGATACAGAGCATCTTCCTCTCAACACCACAACTTTGGACAAAACAAAAAGTTTATTAGTGATATGACAAAATGATTGTAACCAGTACCTTTCTTGGTCTTGGGATGGTCACCAAGAAGCATATGAATGGTATCCAGAAGAAGACACATACGAGGTCCATACATAATTTCAACGTTTTTGTAAAGGACAGGAAGGCTGCAAAAATCAATAAGGCTGTGATTGAGATGACAAGCAATTTTAACCTGGGTACAGATGAAGATGACAATGAGGAGCTTTCAGAAGTGATTCCTGAGGAACTGACTACAGAGGAGTTAGTTGTTGAATGGCTAAAGAGGCACGTACCTGAAATACAGACAAGAGAAAAGGAAATCACAAGAAAGGATGAAAAAATAAGCAAAACCTTGAAGAAAAGTCACATTTAGAAGAAGATTTTGCAGAGCATGAAGGCTCGTTAAAATTTTTGAAAACATAGAGCCCAACACTGCCAGGTTCTCATTAATAGAGAGGCATGTATTTACGATGAAAAAGAAACCAAGGAAATCGTCATGTACACATTTCTGAATGAGAGATTCTTCTTCATGAGGAGCCTCAGGCCACACCTGTAGGAGATACCCAGATTATCACACATGATCTTGTATTGTCATGAGACATGACAGCTCCTTGTCAGTACCGTCCTCGAAGACCTTGTAGTTGGTCCAGATATGGGGGAGGACATTGGTAATGTTAATGATCCTGACCTATGTATGCCCATGCTAATGTGTGTTTGTGTCTTTGTTCTTGACAAATTGTTTTTACAAACTACACACACTCATATATGTGTGAACATATGTATAAAACAGAGAAACATTATAGATAAAATTACAGAGATAATAGTGCAGCTATATAGTAGAGTTTGTGTTTTAAGTTGTTATTACTGTAATCACAAAATTAAACCAATTAAAAATGAAAGTAAACTGAGGTTACTTTATTATAAAAGAATAAAAATATTTTGAATTTAGTGTACTATAAGTGTTTGTGAAGTCTACAGGCCTTCATGTTTGCTCTCCACGCATTCACCAACTCACCCAGAACAACTCCAGATCTTTAGAATCTCTTCCCGCTAAGTACACGACAGATATAGTATTTTTTAATTTTAATTTTTACTAATTTTATATATACAATATAGTAACATTCATTGTTGGAAATGTGTACCTTTACATAGTCAGTCTTGGTTCTTATTTTTTCTCCATTCCCCTACCCTTCCTTAAGCTCCTTCCTCCCTCCCAATCTAAAAAGACTTTGTTTCCATTGTTTTTCATTTTCTCATATTCATTCCACTCCCTCCTTTCGTTTACGTTACCCCTCCCTTTCCTCTTCCTCTTTGTCCCCTTTCTTCCTCTTCTACATTATCTATTATAACTTTGAGTCCTCATTTACACTTCCAGTTTCTCACACTAGAGAAACTATTCAGTATGTACACACCTGGGCCCTATTTATACCACTTAAGAGTATCACTGTTGGGATCTCCTTCTAGAGAAGGGGACTCGGGGAGATGATGGCAGACACATGAATGACCAAAAGCTGATGGCTAATGGCAAAGTTTATTTCTCACCCAGGATCTTTATAGTACAGTTTCAAGGCCACACACAAAAGCATGATCACAGTGGTTTGATGATTAACAGCAGTTACGAGCAGTTACATATTGTTCAAAGTAAAGACATAAATGTCTAGATAAAACAACACCTGTGTATGACTAAAAGGGAGTATAAACTGGAAATAGGAATAAAGAAGAGATTAGGGGATTGTTTGTAGGTTGAGGGATGTGGCTCCAGCACATCACCTTCCGGACACCTGTGTCCCGGTGAGAATCAGCATTCCAGGACTCGGGGTCAGCGCTTCAGCTGTCCGTCCTCTCGTGCCCCAACACATCACCTCAATGTGCATCCATTTAGCTATAAATGTCTTTAGTTTATCATTTTTTATGGCTGAGTACTATTGCATTTTATTAAAAAAAAAACCACACACACATTTTCTTTATCTAGTCTCCAGTTGATGGGCAATTGGGCTGCTTCCAAGTTTTAGCTATTTGAAATTGTGCAGCTATGAACATGGGTGCAGGAATATCATTATGGTATGATTCTTTTAATTCTTTAGGGAATATACATAGCAGGGAAATAGCTGGATCAAATCGGACTTCCCTTTCTTAGTTCTTTGAGGTATTTCCATACTGCTTTCAACAGTGGTTGCAGCAGTCTGCACTCTGACCAGCAGTGGAGCAGAGTTTTTCTTTCCATGCAGACACACCAGCATTTGTTATTAGTTAATTTTGTGATTGCCGCCATTATTTCTGGGGTGAGGTGAAATTTTAGCATTGTTTTCATTTGCATTTCTTGAATGACTGGTGATGTTGAACATATTTCCATATGTTTATTTGCTATTTCTACTTCTTTGTCTGAGAAATGTCCTTTCATTTCAGATGTCCATTTTGAATTGGGTCTTTAAATTTGGGAAGTCTGTTTTTTTTAAAGTTCTTTATATTCTAGATAGTAGACCTTTGTCTGAGGAACATCTGGTGAAAAATTTTCCAACACTGTGGGTTGTCTCTTCACACTATTGGTCATTCCTCTTGCTGTGAGGAAGCTTTTTAATAAGAAGAGATCCCACTTGATTGTTTGTGCTAGCTCACAGGCAACTGAAGCTTTGTTCATAAAATCTTTTCCTACACCAATGTCTTCAAGAGTTCCACCCAACCTATCTTCCAGAAGATTTTGTGTTTCTGCTTTAATATTTAGAACTTTAATCCATTTTGATTTTAGTTTACTGCATTATGACAGATATAGGTTTAGTTTTAATCTTTGGCAAGTTGAAACCCAGTTTTCCCAGCACCATTTATTGCAGAGGATATCTTTCCTCCAGTGAGGATGTTTGGCTCCTTTGTCAAAGATGAGGTGGCTGAGTGTGTCTGGAGTTATTTCTACATCTTCTAATATTTTCCACTGGTCCTCAGGTCTGTTTCATTGCCCTTACCATGCTGTTTTTATCACAGTAGCTTTGCAGTATAGTTTCAAGTTGGGGATTGTAATACCCCCACCTTGTCTTTATTACCTAAAATTGCTTTTGCTATTCTAGGTCACTTCTTGCTCCAAATATAATTTTGTATTGTTTTTCTCAAGTTCTGTGAAGTATATTGCTGGGATTTCAGTTGGGATTCATTGAATCTATATAGCAGCTTTGGAAATATGGCCATTTTTACTATATTGATTCTTCCTACCCCATTGCAAGGGATGTCTTTCAATTTTCTGATATTCTCATCAATCTCTTTTTTTGGAGTGCTATAATTTTCAGAGAAGAGGTCTTCGATTTCTTTTGTTAGGTTGATTCCTAAATATTTCAATTTTTTGGATGCTATTGTGAAAGTAATTGATCACCCCATTTCTCTTTCAGTGAGTCTGTTTTCTGTGTACAGAAAAGCTATTGATTTTTTAGGTGTTGACCTTATATCCAGTTACTTTACTGAATTTGTTTATTAAGTCTAGAAGACTTTTGGTGAAGTTCTTGGGGTCTTCTATATAGAGTGTCATGTCATCTGCAAATAATGGTAATTTGACTTCTTCCTTTCCTATCTGTATTCCTTTTATTTTTTTCTCTTGTCTAATTGCTGTGGCTAATGTTTCCAGAACTATATTGAACAGTAGTGGTGTTAGTGGATATCTGTGTTTTGGTCCTGATTTTAGCATGAAGGATTTCAGTTTTTGACCATTCAGTATGATATTGGCTGTTGGCTTTTCATAAATGGCTTTTATCAGATCGAGATAGAGACTGTTTATTCCAATTTTCTGTAGGGTTTTCAACATGAATGCATATTACATTTTGTCTAATGCTTTTTCTGCATCTATTGAGATTATGATATGGTTTTTATACTTGGCTCCATTAATATAGTGTATTATATTTATTTATTTGTGGATGTTGAACCATCCCTGCATCCCTGGGATGCATCCCACTTGTTCAGGGTGTATGATCTTCTTGATGATATTCTGCATTCTACTTGCCAGTTCCTTATTAAGAATTTTTGCTTCTATGTTCATTAGTGAGATTTGCCTATACTTCTCCTTTTTGTTTGAGTCTTTCTCAGCTTTGGGTTTCAAGGAGATGCTTGATTCAAGGAATGAATCTGGGAGTATTGTTTCTCTTTCAATTTCATTGAAGAGTTTAAACATTAGTGGCAGTAGTTCCACTGTACATGTCTTGTAGTATTCACCAGTGAAGCCATCAGGGCCTGGACTTTTCTTAGTTGGTAAGTTTTTAATTACATACATATATTTTTTTTCTCATTGAGTTTATTGGTACATTTTAGGTATAAAGTACAGTTGCATTCATCATTGGGATCTTGTACCTTTACATGACAGGTTTTGGTTCTCATTTTTTTCCCCTTGTCCATGCCCACCCTTCACCTTCTCCTCTCCTCCCATTTACAAACACTTTATTTCCATTTTTTCATTTTCTCATATTTTTTTCTTTTCCCTTATTACCTTTCCCCTATCCTTCCCATTTTTCCTACACCTTTAGCCCTTTTCTTCCTATTTTACATGGTCAATTATATCATTAGGATCTATGTACTAAGTGAAATAAATAAGTCACACATGTGTAAATACCTAATAATTTTTCTGGTGTGAAAAACTATAATGGTGTATAGGTTCTTAAAGTAGGTACTGATGATCCTCTGGGTTTCTGCTGGGTCTGTTTTAATTTTACCATTTTCATTCTTAATTACATGGATTTCTTTCTTTCCTTCTGAGAATGTTGGCTAAGTGTTTTTCAATGTTATTTATTCTTTCAGTGTACCAACTCATGGCTTTGTTGATTTTTTTGTATCATTCTTTTAGTCTCCATTGCATTAATTTCTGCTGTGACCGTTATAATTTGGGTTTATCCTGATTTTCTTTTTTCTAGAAGCTTGAGGTTTAGCATCAGGTTGTTTAATTCTGCTTGCTGTGTTTTCATAGCATACAGATTTAGTTCTATGAATTTCCCTCATAAGACTGCTTTCATTGTGTCCCATAGATTCCGATATGTTGCATTGTCATTGCAATTTAATTGTAGGAGCTGATTTCTTTTTAGTATACTCTGTGGCCCATTGGTTGTGTGTTGTTCAATTTCCATGTGTCATGAAATTCTTGCGACTTCTTTTAGTATTGTTCTCCAATTTCATTGCACTG